AAGAAGAAGAAGAAGAAGAAGAAGAAGAAGAAGAAGAAGAAGAAGAAGAAGAAGAAGAAGAAGAAGAAGAAGAAGAAGAAGAAGAAGAAAAAGAAGAAACACAGTCATAACAACAATATCAAGAATAATATACTAACAATAGAATTGATTTGAGTAAAATAATGAAATAACATTGAAATAATGAATGCAGTAATATTATTATAATTCAAAATGTCTAATAGGACACTACTTGGAATCCGCTGATTGTATGGGTTCAGATCAGATGTCTATTCTCATTTTGTGTTTGATCATTCTATTGAGTTAAAAAAAGGTGTTGAGCCAAAAAAAAGACAATTATAAAAAAATAAACCATCGGCCCCCAAAATGATTTATTTATCTTGACGAGCGCCTGATTTCACTTCGATGCCTCACTATTGATGGTCAGGTCAAGCCTCGACAATGGGTGGCCGTCGAGGGCAGTTTCGACTGTACTTTACAAACGCGACACATTATAATGTACCAACGAATTTTGTAACCCTAGTGCTATCTGTAGCTAACTCTTTTCTTCCTATTGTGATGTTAATAATTTTGAAAGCACTGCAATCCACTCGCAAAAACAAACAAGAATTTGCACCAAATACAACTGAAACTGTACGAAACCCAGGCATTAAACAATAGGTTTAGTTCTGTGACAACATTTTCATGAGTCACAAAATGGAGTAAGTACAAGTTATCACTCAGTTAATCAGGCCGCGATATGTACAAGTGCAACTGAAGGAGGTAAAGATATTGAGTCGATCCAAAGTCTTCTGCTTCCTGTAGAAAGAGAACTATCATTTATCATAATATGCCACAGGCGCTGCTAATTTATTCTTCCCTGTGGTAAAAGAAAGTAGTGGCCTTTTTAAAAAAACAATGACAATGACAATCTTTATTCATCTCGCAGGGACACATTTGTCTTGGTCGTTAACAATGGCCGACGTTAAAAGAATTAGAGCTAAAGGTGCACTCACGCAAACGCACAGACAGGACATGAGGCCAAGTAAATACATATCTCACGTGCTGGGACAACCGGCTCCGTAAAATACTCTCTCTCTCTCTCTCTCTCTCTCTCTCTCTCTCTCTCTCTCTCTCTCTC